GACCTGATCTCTGTTTTGAGCTGCTGCTGCTGCTGTTGGTGCTGCTGCTGCTGTTGGTGCTGTTGGTGCTGCTATTGGTGCTGTTGGTGCTGCTGCTGCTGCTGTTGGTGCTGCTGCTGCTGCTGCTGCTGTTGGTGCTGCTGCTGCTGCAGCTCTGAGCTGCTGCTGTTGGTGCTGCTGCTGCTGCTGCTGTTGGTGCTGCTGCTGCTGCAGCTCTGAGCTGCTGCTGTTGGTGCTGCTGCTGCTGCTGTTGGTGCTGCTGCTGCTGCTGCTGTTGGTGCTGCTGCTGCTGCTGTTGGTGCTGCTGCTGCTGCAGCTCTGAGCTGCTGCTGTTGGTGCTGCTGCTGCTGCTGTTGTGCTGCTGCTGCTGCTGTTGGTGCTGCTGCTGCTGCTGCTGTTGGTGCTGCTGCTGCTGCTGTTGGTGCTGCTGCTGCTGTTGGTGCTGCTGCTGCTGCTGTTGGTGCTGCTGCTGCTGCAGCTCTGAGCTGCTGCTGTTGGTGCTGCTGCTGTTGGTGCTGCTGCTGTTGGTGCTGCTGCTGCTGCTGCTGCTGTTGGTGCTGCTGCTGCTGCTGTTGGTGCTGCTGCTGTTGGTGCTGCTGCTGCTGCTGCTGCTGTTGGTGCTGCTGCTGCTGCTGTTGGTGCTGCTGCTGCTGCAGCTCTGAGCTGCTGCTGCTGCTGTGAAGTCTTCAGGGTGTGAATATTTCTGCCTCCTGGTGTTTCCAGGTGGCGGAGCTGAAGCTGGAGCTGAAGCTGCGCGGTCTGCCGGTTTCCGGAACCAAAACGGACTTGATAGAGAGACTGAAGCCGTTCCAGGAAAACTCCTCCCTGGCGGCTCCGCCCGGCGTTCCCATATCCAGCGCCCCCTCCTCCGTGCCCATGGAGGTCTCTTCCTCCGCCGCGCCTACTGTCGTTCTTCCAGTCCAGCAGGCGGCGCCAGAGAGGATGTGCTCCACCCCACCTAACTCGCCCATTCCCTCAGACCCGGCCGCTCTTCAGCCGGACATCAGCATGTCTGAGGCCGAAGCCCAGCCGGGTTCTGGTTCCGGTTCTCCCCGGCCGGAGGAGCGGGACCGGCGGCTGCATGAGAAGCAGCGGCAGATCGAGGATCTGATGAGGAAACTGGAGCGGGAGCAGCGGCTGGTGGAGGAGCTCAAGATGCAGCTGGAGGTGGAGAAGAGGGGCCAGGCCGACCCGGTTCTGAGCTCCAGCGCCGTGAAGATGGAGGGCCCGGTTCTGTCCAGCTGCTCCTCCGGCGCTACCGTCCTGAGTCCCCAAGTGGTCAAGCTGGAGGACGTGACGTTGTCGGCCGGGAAGCCGCTGCAGCTCCAGACCCAAACCCAAACCCAGATCATCGCTCAGATCCAGAACCGGGCCGGCCCCCCGCCGGGCCCCAGGCCCAGCCCGCGGCCCCTGGCCTGCAGCAGTTCTTCATCAGCCACCCTGCCGGGGTCCTGGGCCAGCCGCAGACGCTGATGACCGCAACAGGCCAGACCACGACCCAGATCTTCGTCCCGGTCTCGCTGCCGAACAGCGCCGCCGCCATCCAGCTGCCGAACAGCGCCGCCGCCATCCAGCTGCCGAACAGCGCCATCAGTCTGCAGGTAGGAACACTGTCGCGTGTTAGTGGCCTTAACGATGCTTTACGGAAACGCATCCTGGTTTTAAATTCTTCTTTTTCACATTATAATCATCAATGCTGGTCCAGTTAAAGCTGAACTGTGATGCTTTAGTTTGAATTTCGGGTTATTTTAGCTCCTCAGGCTCTACTTTGACCCCTGACCTGAGAGCCTCTAGTTTTGGTGCTGTTTCTTTAAATACAAATGAGAAAATTCAAACTCTGCCCCGTCTGCATTTTTGTAGTTATGTGTTCAACGTTTTATGTCATAAAATTATTCAAAGCAAGCAGCATCTTTATTTCAGCACGGAAATGAACAGCTAGCACAAAGCGCTAACGTTAGCAGAAGGGACAACGCTACAGCTAGCAAAACAATGGTTAGCAAAACCAGGACTTCACATCAGCACAATATGTTCCTGTTTTGAATAAAATATATTGACAACATTGGAGTCGTCCATCCATCCTCACATGTTGGAGCAAGAAAATTAATTTGGTAAAAATGGCCTCATTATAGTTGGTGAGTTTCTATCAAGGCTTTTTATTTCAGGGTATCAGAGTAAAAGAGGAGGAATGCAAAAGGCAAACCATATTTCCTGTTCTTTTGAGGGGAGAAAAGAGAGGAACGTTACTCATCACTATTTTGGCAGTTGAACTGTGACACGTCATTTACCCAGAATGCATTGCAGTGAGAACAACGTGGACACATTCCTGTGAAAATATTTGACATTTATAAAAACTAAATAACCTTCAGTTTTACTGTATTGTTTTTACATCTAAAATAAATATTTCCCAATGAGGATATTTTTTATAAATAATTGTAGTTCCATTTAAATATTTAAAATTCAGCCAAACTGGTTTCCTGTTTAGTTTTCTCTCTTTTTTGTT